TTTGATATAGCGCGAAGTAAAATACTCAAGCGCCGAAGCTCGAAGTCCAGGAAACGGGTGAAGTTGAAATTTCAAGCGTGTGACTGTGACGCACTTCATGCTAAATGAGCATAGAGCACTGTACAAATAACTATAACGTCGGTCTGCCTACTTCAAATTCAACATAATGACGGCTCATTGGAAAGCTATTGAACGCAGCTTTCCAACGATGTTTCATTCGATATAGCGCGAAGTAAAATACTCAAGCGCCGAAGCTCGAAGTCCAGGAAACAGGTGAAGTTGAAATTTCAAGCGTTTGACTCTGGCACATTTCATGCTAAACGAGCATAGAGCATTGTACAAACAGCTATAACTTCGGTCTGCCTACTTCAAATTCAACATATGAAGGCTCATTGGAAAGGTATTGAACGCAGCTTTCCAACGATGTTTCATTTGATATAGCGCGAAGTAAAATACTCAAGCGCCGAAGCTCGAAGTCCAGGAAACGGGTGAAGTTGAAATTTCAAGCGTGTGACTGTGACGCACTTCATGCTAAATGAGCATAGAGCACTGTACAAATAACTATAACGTCGGTCTGCCTACTTCAAATTCAACATAATGACGGCTCATTGGAAAGCTATTGAACGCAGCTTTCCAACGATGTTTCATTCGATATAGCGCGAAGTAAAATACTCAAGCGCCGAAGCTCGAAGTCCAGGAAACAGGTTGAAGTTGAAATTTCAAGCGTTTGACTCTGGCACATTTCATGCTAAACGAGCATAGAGCACTGTACAAACAGCTATAACTTCGGTCTGCCTACTTCAAAATCAACATACGAAGGCTCATTGGAAAGCTATTGAATGCAGCTTTCCAACAATGTATCATGCGATATAGCGCGAAGTAAAATACTCAAGCGCCGAAGCTCGAAGTCCAGCAAACGGGTGTAGTAGAAATTTCAAGCGTGTGGCTGTAACGCACTTCATGCTGAAGTATGTGTTTGCGCCCCGGTGCACAGCCCATGCGCGCATATGCGTGACATGCACCACAAATGAGCGCTAGAGCAGCCTGGTTCTGCTGGTGTTTGAATCTTGACAGATGAACTGGTGCATGAGCTGAAGCTGAACAGTGTACATATTGTCATGGTCCTCGAATTTGCTAATTCGGCCGCATTGCTCGAGTTATTGTTCGCCATGAATGGCAACGTTTCTACATGTTATCAGCTTGGTTTTAGTTTCATATGAAAGGTAATTCTACCAGCTTTCCAGAACTATAAAGGTGTCAATACAAATTATTTACCGTTTAGTCTCTATTATCAATCTAGTGGACCCCGTTTTTTTACATATAAATCCTGCGGCTGGTAAAGGGTTAAGCGAAGGCTATATACCTGCTTTATGCAGGTTGATGCCAACGCGAACAAGCAAAATAATAATAATAATAATAACGACGTAACATTGTTGCACATGTGAAACTCATGCGAACTAGCTTAATTAGTGGATAGCGGATTATAGATATGCTGAGCAATGTGAGCAGATATATACTGAAGAGACAATAAGAGGTAGGATTTTTGTTTTGAAATATCGTCTGAGGTGGATTTGCCGAAGTCTGAGTGTGCAAATGGGATGAATTGGGGTAGGTGAATTGCAGGAAGGTGTGGTGGTGCATACGTATGGTGCAGGCTATGTACAAGAATTATATGGCAGAGGTGGGTGGGTGGGTGGGTGGGTGGGTGCGTGCGTGAGTATGTGCGTGCGTGCGTGAGTGTGTGTGTGTGCCTTGTTGAATGATTCTTTTTTATTCATTTGTTTCTGTCATCTATCTCTACAGTTACCCCACAAACTATAGAACAGGGAGATTGTCCATCTGGCTGGTACCAGCACAATCGACTCTGCTATAAGTTCGAGACGAAGGAAAAGGTCAACCAAAGCGATGCCATTGCGGCTTGTAGCAAATTTAATGGCACCCTTGCAATTGTTAATAGTCCTGTTTTACAGAGCTACATAAACCATCACTTCTTGCAGGTGAGGCAAAACGTTTTCGTAGGCGTTTGAGATCTGTTATTCACACGATGGCCTGTGGCCAATAAGAGAAGAAGAAATACAGGCTTAGTTGTTGCATCGCTCACTCAAATCCAGTCCTATCGCAACAAACTTTATTTCACTGGAAAGCTGAGCTCAATACCTTTCAAACGGTATATCGTTTGTGAAAATCGGCCGCCGTTGACACGAGTTACGACAGTTTGTACAGTGACATATGCCCTTCGTACTTTTGCGTGGGCCGTGGAACGAGATATCTCGTCATCCGCCGTTCAGGCACACTTTACAGAGCGAGATATCTCGTCATTAGCACTGAAAGGGTTAAATCTTTATTCTCACGATAGGCATTGGCCAATAAGAAATAATAGTACGAGAACAGTTTCCTCTGACACGCGATAATACTCAGAAAAAGGAAACACTTCAGGCTCTTTACGAACATCTTGAAAGTTTTTGAAAGGCTTGAAAGTATACTAGTGAAACCGAAAACTTTCAAGATGTTCGTAAGGAGCCTGAAGTGTGTCCTTTTTCTGAGTAATAGTATGAGAGAGGAGAAAAAGTAAGGAAGAATTGGGTGAGCAAAAGATTAATGACTACTCCTAAAAGTGTACGGGCAGTGGTAGTCGCTACATGAACATACAGAGTAATGGAACAGTTATTACGGAACAGCAATGATATCTGAGATTTGAAGAGAGTATGAGAAGGGATTTCGCGAAGCTGGCTAAGCAAGCTATTAAAGTAATGAAGGGCCTTGTACAGGAGAGAATGGAGACAGCGGTCAGACCTCGGAGTTTGCAAGTGCCATGCACGAGAGCGACGTAAATTATACGAGGGTTGCACGCTGCGAGGAGTATGCGGCGACAGTAGTATGTGCTTTGGCATGATTGTGGTGCAGAGAATGTGCGAAGAGGATATATTTAACTCTAAAGCGTGAACATAATGTTGCCCATTTGATGCGATGCAAAAGGTTGGTGCGTTCTAGGTGTGTGAAGGGGAAGGTGGAGACATATTCTAGTGGCTTCTGGAGTCGTTCCAGCCTGTCAAAGGAAGTGCGTGACTAAGGTGTGAGAGCATTGCTAGCATTGTTGTTTGAAATCCTTCATTCTCATGATGGCCGGTGGCAGTTGCTGAGTGATGGCCTTTTGAGCCGGTGCTGCAGCACGGAGTGGGTTCTGTGTTCAAGGAGGAGGAGATGCAAACAGAGGCGTGCGGCGCGCCATTGGATGAACCATGACGTCAGGCGAAATTACTAGTCAGTCGGCGACACACATTTTTCACAAAAAATTGCGTTTCACCTGCTGGGAGAGTATGCGTGTACTCGAGTCTCATCCTGAGTACGTTTTTTTCTTCTTTTTTTCAGCTCCAGTATAGCTGTATTTTTCATTGCAAAGCCGTCCTCGATTGTTGTGTTCGTTGTTCAAACGAAGTGGACATTCAATCATGAAGGCAGAGGACATACTGTAAGACATGTTATTATAACGAGTTGGAAATTTAACGATTGTCCAAAATTCATAGGTTAACGAGAAGATATGTTAACGATCTTGCAGTATTCTGCCATATCCACACACAGCATATATGAAGCAGTACGGCCTCAACGGATCTTATTATAACGAAGAAATGTCATCCGTTAAAACGTTAGATTTGCTTCCTCGTTATATATACATGTCTTACAGTAGGTGCCTGATTGGAGTTTCTCGTGGCATAGGACGGCCACACAGAGACACTTTGGGATTTTCTGAATATAAAATACCGTACGCACGATGCTGAGATCAATTTGTGCGATATCAAATTGTTTGTGATCTACCACATTGAGCAGAACGGGATCCAAACACAAGCTTACCGACGGTTAGGCTGCCGACCTGACTGGACAAATGATCCCTGGCTTCACCAGATGCCAGAAGTCGGACACCATGTCCTTTGCCGCGACGTCCATCTCCAAAAAGAACTCCATCTTCGTCGTGAAAAGGCTTGAAATACTCAATATTCAACCGAGATTCGCGGTCTCACCCTTTCTCAGATCGAATCATTTTTTGTTGTAGCAGTTGCAGGGCAGATCCCCGCCACTACTTCAACAGAAGATGGCTCCAAAGCATGCCTGGAACAAGCCATATCGAGGTTACAAGCCACCCCTCTCAGCACTTTTTTTGAAGAAATTCGAAATTTCAATGGTGGAAGATATACTATGAAGAGAATTTCAAAAAGTATGTTTCGCGGAGCGATCGCTCAACCTACGTCATTCAAACTTTTCAGGATGGTTCAGACGTACATGCTAGGCATGGAACCACAGAAGATGATATCATAGCTGACACACAGAGTCACACACACAGCAGATTCGTGTGCACAGATACTAAATTAGTGGACGTCGTCATCTTCTTCACGCTGATCTCAAATGTACTATGACGTGCTATTTCGCCTGACGAGTTCTCTAGAAACAGTGTCTAGCCTTCACTTGTGAGAGGAACAAAAAACCATCTCCAATTCCGTTTTTTTAAGAGAAGCACGGCTCATCGACATGTGGACTATTTGCAGTCTTTTTGACGTCGTCATTTCTTCCTGCTGATCTCAAATGTACTATGACGTGCTCTTTCGCCTGACGACGTTCACTACTTTAGTATCTGTGCACACGAATGTACTGTGTGTGTGCCTCTGTGGGTCAGCTATGACATCAAACCCTGTGGTTCCATGCCGAGTATGTAGGTCAGAACCATCCTGCAAAGTTTGAATGATGTAGGTTGAACGATCGCACCGTGAACCATACTTTTTTGAAATTCTCTTCATAGTATATCTTCCACCATTGAAAGTTCGATTTTTTTGCTGAGAGTGGTAGCTTGCAACCTCGATACAGCTTATTCCAGGCATGCTTTGGACCCTGTTGAAGCAGGGCTGGAGATCTGCCCTTCAACTGCTACAACAAAAATGATTCGATCTGAGAAAGCGTGGGACCGAAAATCTCGGTTGAATATTGAGTATTTCAAGCCTTTTCAGACGAAGATGGACGTCGCGGCAAAGGACATGGTTTCCGACTTCTGGTGTTTGGTGAAGCCAATGATCATTTGTCCTGTCAGGTCGACAGCCTAACCGTCGGTAAGCTTCTGTTTGGATCCCGTTCTGCTCGTTGTGGTAAATCACCAACAATTTGATATTGCACAAATTGAAGTCTGCATCGTGCGTACGGTATTATATTCAGAAAATCACAAAGTGTCTCTGTGTGGCCGTTCTATGCCACGAGAAACTCCAATCAGGCTCTTATGTTCTCTGCCTTCTTGATTGAATGTCCACTTCGTTTGAACAACGAACACAACAATCGAGGACGGCTTTGCAATCAAAAATACAGCTATACTGGAGGTGAAAAAAAGAAGAAAAAACATGCTCAGGATGAGACTCGAGGTCACGCGTACTCTCCCAGCAGATTCTGTGGATGTCGCTCATAGATGCCAAATTTCGCGTGACAAGGCAAAAGTTTCAGGAGGGCAATATAATCATTGCCAAAGTTACACCATTTGCAAACTTGTTTCGTACGCGGTGTGAAAAACAAACCTCATTCAGAGACTTACAGTTGAACATCGATTATCCGCACATCGACTATCCGACCATTCGATTATCCGTAACAGTTTTTTTGGGCGCACGTGCCGTAGAGTACGCACTGTGCATTTAGTGAGCCATTCAAAAAATACGAAAATTTTGAAAAGTAGCACTCTATTCTATTTACAATGTACATGTACATGTATTTACAGTGTATTTTCTTATCCGGAACATTTGCCTTATCTGAACACCGCCTGACAGTTGTCTGCCCAGAGGTGGTCGGATAATCGATGTTCAACTGTATAACTTCTCTTTGGAACATGCTAAGACACTCCAGTATTTTTGAAAATGAATAGTGGGTCTTTCCTGCTTCTTTTGAGACCAAAATGGTGCAGATACGATCCAAAATAAGTGAGTTACAGCTTATTAAGTCATCGACGGATAGTCGTAGATTTTGGACTGGCCAGTCGGATAAGGGTTAAAAGAATTGCATAGTGGCAGGAGAAGGAATGTACTCCTGGATGCTTTAGTGAGAGCATTGCTCGCATATGAAAATATAAGTAGTATGTATGTCTGATAGATGTGAGATATAGAATCATTGGTGATTGTGCTTGGTCTAAGATGAATAGTGAAAGACTTGGGTGATTTTGGCTATGTATTCAACATGCTCCATCCAACGGAGGTCTTACTGAAAGAACAGTCCGAGAACTTCAGGTCACGTGACAAAAGGTTACGTCGGCAAACAGTGCAACGTGACCACAAGAGAGTTGAACCCAAAGCTGGGATGCGTACAACTATTGTAGCGGGCCTGGAGGCAAAACAACCTAACAACTCGAAACTAACTTTATTAAAAATTCTCTTTCTCTCTCTAGAACGGCAAAACTGCCTCTAGCAGTAAAACTCTGAACTCATTGTGAAAGATAAAATAAACGCAATTTATGGACAATAATCACAAACAGCAACGTACTGTCATGCGACCGTTGTATGGTAGAACGAACGTCGTATTGAACAGTACGCTGAGCGTATACGCAAATGCTGAGCTTGTAGCAAACTTCGTATTGAACAGTACGCTGCGCTGAGCGTATACGCAGATGCTGAGCTTGTAGCGTGACCAACGCGTGACCAACGCTACACCTCCCCTCTCAAAGACAATCACGTCCTCGTGATTAGTAGCGGGTTGGTGGTCGAAACATTTGGCGGTATGCATGGTCGCGTCGGGACAACCTCGACGAAAGAACATAGACCGTCAACCGGGATATGTATGGCAAATAATATCGGAAATTATAACGTTTATAGAGTAGACAAAAGAAATGAACTGATAACAAAATTAATCATAAAAATCGAAGCACACCGGGGTCAAACTATCTCACGGGTTCAAAAGGGAAACCTCATTACACTTCCTGTAAAACGCTGGCGCAACCCACCAGGAAAACCGCAGTTCAGAACCGAACTGAATACACTATTATTCCCGTAGCTATGCAGAAGACGTTACTTCAGTAACGTCTGGCGCTAGCCAGGGTCCACACAGCTTTAATTTGGTATTTGTTTGTTTGTGTGTTTGTTTGTTTGTTTTTGTCACGCCTGGCGCTATCCGTATCTGACGGCAAAAAAGCATAGGATGTTATAAATTTTTCAATTCTCCTATTTTTATTTCAGGCATATCCTGGGATTGGAACCTGCACTATCGCCCTACATGCATTCCCCATACACTTCGCATTCATACCCATTCTTCCAAGTTGCTTCACGTTATTATCTTGCGTTTGAAAGCTCTATTTGAATATTGCGGGCAGCTGTATGTGGCCAGCTGTGTTTGATGGTACGGTACGGTACAGGAGACGGTGTCGTATTACCCTCGATCGTACCTGTCCCGTACCTATCCCCTACCGTACCGTGCCATCAAAGACGGCTGGCCACAAAGCATATTCAAATAGGGCTTTCAAATGCAAGATCACAATGTGAAACAACTTGGAAGAATTAGTATGTATGCGAAGTGTATCGGGGGATGCATGCAGGGCACGCGATAATGCGGGTTCGAATCCCAGGTTATGTCTTAAAAAAAAAGAGGATTTTTTTAAAGAATTTTTAACATCCCTATGCTGGTCATCAAGACAAAATAGCATAGCGTAGGGCCCTGAGCTTCCAAGCTCTCTCGTTATATTTAACATCGTCCCAGATTAATTAGATAGACCGTGGTTCACCATGATCAGACGCCTACGAAACTAAACTGAATTCACACGCTCGCGTAAAGGAAGACTGAAGGAAGACAGGAAAGAAAATGCCATATCTGGAATTAGCTTACACTGGCAATGTACATGGAGCTCCATCCTTTGAGACGCGTGCGCTATCTGTCATGGAGCCCAATCCCTAGAGACACGTTGGCGGCCATCATGACTGGCTAGGTGTGTCGGGCGGCAGGAGCAGCGGAGCTGGGGCAGCGGCGGGTGACAGCGGGTGCTACTTCAGATACACTAACTTGAGCCCTCAGCGAATGTGGATGAAAACTAAAACTAAAATTGACGGCTGTCACAAATGTGTAGCGGCCATTACGTCGGAAAACATGCAACTTGAACAAAACTTTACCGCTGCCACCAATTTTGTAGCGCCATTGCTACCAATGTAAAACAGGTGGGGTCGAATCTGACAAAGTTGACTTTAACCACCGCTGCCACCAATTTTGTAGCGGGCCTGGATGCAAAACAACCTAACAACTCGAAACTAACTTTATTAACAATTCTCTTTCTCTCTCTAGAACGGCAAAACTGCCTCTAGCAGTAAAACTCTGAACTCATTGTGAAAGATAAAATAAACGCAATTTATGGAAAATAATCACAAACAGCAACGTACTGTCATGCGACCGTTGTATGGTAGAACGAACGTCGCATTGAACAGTACGCTGAGCGTATACGCAAATGCTGAGCTTGTAGCAAACTTCGTATTGAACAGTACGCTGCGCTGAGCGTATACGCAAATGCTGAGCTTGTAGCGTGACCAAAGCGTGACCAGCGCTACACTATCATGCACAGAGTGCAAATAATGTGTATGGGTTCAGATCACGTGATGTGAAGTTCTGCCGTCACAGACTCCATAGCTGAAGCTGCACACTGCTGCTGGTTATGTTATCATGATATTGCGGAAAGTTGATGGAACGAAATTGAAATAATGAAGTTTGGGCAATGAGCAGGTACAAGACAGTAGTTAATGTGTATGCGTGTGTGCACACGTGTGTGTGCGCACGTGTGTGTGCGCACGTGTGTGTGCGCACGTGTGTGTGTGTGTATTTTTTCTACAAAATCCACATATCTCCAGACACTGGGGTGAATGATGGAGTGTGGTGGTGGGGCTCATTAAGCTCCGCCGACCAGAGGTCTCGGCTTCATAGCTCCATGGACGCACCAAAGGGAGATTGGGTAGTGAGTATTGGATTGAAAAAGAAAACAGAAGAAAGAAAATGGAAAGATTGTATTGCTCAGTGAGCAAAAGAATAAGTTGAGTATTGATGTGAACGCTGTTAGACTTTTAAATTCAAAAGGAGACTGTCTGTCAGGAGAGATTACATGTACGTCCAAGCAGGGTAGGACACTGTATCCTCTTACTCGCGTTTGGTATGAGTGGCCCAGTGCCAGTTCGTTCTGAGGAGGTGGTCATAAGCTGCTGTCTTGAACGTTTGGATGTGTTCGTGTGTGTGTATGTGTCCCATATGGTGCAGTGGTATGTGCAGCGATTTCCAATCGATAGGTTGCGGGTTCGATTCCCGACGATTATGGTCACACACGTCTTTCTTCTCTTTCTCAGCCTCTTCCTGACTTTTCTTTCATTCTCCTGGGTGGTTACCAACAGCCAGTGCATGCCGGGGTATGTGGTGTGATGTGTGTGCAGGGAAAAAAATAAAAAAGACCAACAAGTAGGGATTCACTGGCCAGAAAAAGCCACTTCATAGCTGTGTGGTGTAGACCAGGCTGAATAGTGGCGGCCAATTCTTCAGCCTTGCAAGCTGTTGAATGGTACAATCCCAGCGCAAGTTGCTATGGCTTCTGCTGTAGCATCGCTATCATCGCCTCCGGCGATGGGCGTCCAATGGTCCAATGGTCCAATGGTGTGTGTGTGTGTGTGCATGCGTGAGTGTGTACGTGCGTGCGTGCCTGAGTGTGTGTGTGCGTGCGTGTGTGTCAGCTAGTTCGGTTGGTGGTTGCACGTATGCCTGATTGTGTTGGGTCTGTTGCCAACGGGCTCGGCTACTTGAAGGTGTAATGTTGTACCTGCCACCTTTGTTGGTCCCAGGGTTCATATACTTTCTAGTTGAAGTATACATACCTGTTTCCATGGACTGCTTCTGGCTAGATTAACTCTTGTCTAATCAACGGTGCTAGTGAAGCATATATCAGATCCACTCTGATTTAGCCACCCAAACTAGTAGCAAGTATTACCTTTACTGGGGGTAGGGGTAACTGCAGTTGGATCCCTGGACGGATACCCTGATGCCGTCAATCCTTTTTCTGCACCCACTTACTGAGGTGTGGTGAGCCCATAAGTGGGATCATTTTGAAGTCCACCCAGAGTTTTGGGGATTTCAGGGGGTGTCGGCCGTTGGGCAGTTCAATAGCCAATTGAGTCATCTTTCCAAGATTCCTTTTGAGTCTCTCCCCTCCTGGGGAGACCCACGTGACCAATTTTGGCAGTGAGCAACAAGTGTGTGTGTGTGTGTGTGTGTTTGTGTTCTTGTCTACTTTGACACAGAGTGAAAGTACGTACAGAGATGCTTTGTGGATTGGTCTCACCCATTCTAACAAGGATGAATGGCTGTGGCCAGGCAGTACGGACACAATCACCTACAGCAACTGGGGATGTGGGCAGCCGAGTACCAACGGCAATGAGAACAAGTGCACAACCATTGGCTATGGTGCAAACAATGACAACTCCGGACTATGGAGTGCTGAATCTTGTACTGAAAAGCTAGCAAACTACATCTGTCAGATGCATGTTCCACTACGTGAGTCTGGTGGTGGTGCTAGGGAGTGGTGGGTTGGGAGGAAATCTTCCTTCTTGTTTGAAACTTAGGTCGAAGAAGTTTTCATTTCGCTCTTTTCTTTTTTTTCCATCGTTCTTTTCACATTTATTTCTACCATCCATTCTCGAGTTATTTCATCACTTAGCATCTCCCAAGTTGGAAAACTGTGGCTCAGGCCTTTCCAACAAGCCGTATATCATTGAAATCCATGAATGAAATCAAAAATGGCGAAGGAATTTACTCGGCGATGCGCATACAGTGCCAGGTTACCTTCAATCCAAACAGCATCATCAACATGTCAGCCTTGGAATTGACTGATGTGCAAAAAGAACTCCTTTCCCGCGGAACAGACTTCGGAATTCCGCCTTCTTGTAACAACAAAGATATCGTCATGAAAGAATTTGAACTGTTTTACAGGAAACTATTATGCTTTTCGCCGATTTCCGAGGCTCAACAGTCGGTGTGCGCTGCTAAACTTAGAGCAAAGGCTGAAGAGAATTCCGAACAAATACCAGGCCGAAGTTCTTTCTCATTATCTCGCGAGCATCTCAAAGCCCGTAAAGAATTGCGAGCGAATAAAGACGTCATCATAACCAGACCTGACAAAGGTCGTGCTACAGTCATTATGAACAAAGCTGACTATGTTGACAAAATGATTGTCATCCTTGCTGATACATCTAAATTCCAAGCAATTGGCCCAGTTGGACAGTTTGACAGAACCATGAAAGTAGAGGCAGAGTTAATCAATTACCTAAAGAAACTAAAAGCCGACAAGAGTATCTCTACACATGAATTTGACTTGATGAAGCCGGTCGGATCACTACGTCCTCGCCTTTATGGTTTACCAAAAATACATAAGCCTACATGTCCTGTCCGGCCAATCGTCTCCATGACAGCTTCGCCGCAGTATTCAATCTCTAAGTGGTTGTGTAGGTTGTTGAAAGTTGTTGAGGAGTACTACTGCCGACACACTGTTAAAGATAGTGTTGTAGTTGTAGTTGTAACATTACTTCTCCATCACTGCATCAGCTCAACCGCCACCACTGGACTGCCTTTTTACACTCTTTTATTGACGAATAACCAAGAACACGGAAAACGACTACATCTTGACAAGACGACAGACTAAAGACTAGCTCACACAGTTTCGCGCATGCGCACAACACCACCAACCAATGACGCGTGTCCACAGCGACCAAGACGAAACAAACACGTGACACCAAATCTACCACAATATCCCGACCAAAAAAACACATACCGTCCTCGGTATGACCAAATAAAACACAATACGCAGAGAGACGCAACCGCAAACAGCAAAAGTAGCCACAGGACCAACGCATAGAGAGACGCAACCGCAAACAGCAAAAGTAGCCACAGGACCAACGCATAGAGAGACGCAACCGCAAACAGCAAAAGTAGCCACAGGACCAACGCATGTAGCTCCCCAGAATAAAACAGGGCAACCAAAGCCAGAAGAAAGAAAGAGAGGTGAATGTTAAAGAGAAGAGAAGAAACACTGCATTGCTGTCTAGCCACGCACACACAAAAAAACACAGGCTTAACCTAAGCCTAAAAACCGATGAGCCCTGCCCATCCACACAACGCCAGCCACACCCACGACTGTCACCGAAAAAACAAAAATAAATAAAATATATACATGGCAACGACAAACAAGCAGCGAGTCTAGCTCCCAGCAATGAACCGGGGCTCACCCTGATCGGACGTTCGTTGCCTTCGATGTGGACTGCCACAAGGAGAACCAACCGTGGTTCACCATGATCAGACGCCAGTTCCCAAGACAAGTAGCAATTCAAACAAACTCCCGTATGCACGCACGCATGCACACACATAAACACTCACCGGAAAACAAAGAAAAGAAGAGAGATATGGAGAGAAGAAAGGCGGCGCATTCCAGCCAGCACACGACTTCGGAGCAGCAGGAAGCCAACTGCGAAGCTGATACTCCACTCGTATCAGGACAACGAAACGGCGGACGCACAGCGACACTTGAACACAGCTCAGCGGAGGGCGTCAGCTTGATCGAATTGAGTAGACGACGACGACGACGGGACACCGGACAACGATACAGCACGACGACACAGCACGACGACACAGCTCCACGACGAACGTTCGAACACGGACAGGGGTGACGAATAAACCAGGACAGTCCAGCAGTGACGGGAGCAACACACATCTCAGGGTCGTGAGCTGCGGAGGCAGAACTCCGCGTCGAGAGATAGTTGGGCGCCAAATGTTGTAGTTGTAGTTGTAACATTACTTCTCCATCACTGCATCAGCTCAACCGCCACCACTGGACTGCCTTTTTACACTCTTTTATTGACGAATAACCAAGAACACGGAAACGACTACATCTTGACAAGACGACAGACCAAAGACTAGCTCACACAGTTCCGCGCATGCGCACAACACCACCAACCAATGACGCGCGTCCACAGCGACCAAGACGAAACAAACACGTGACACCAAATCTACCACAATAGTTTCGATTTCATAGAGAAGCTACGGGTCCGACCTGTTCCAACTCACTCACATATGTGTTCGTTCGATGTAGTGAGTTTGTTCACAAACGTACCGCTGGAGGAGACAATTGATATTTGCGCGGATGTGTTGTACCGTGTTGACGAAGTTGACACTCCGTGGCTACCTGAATGTGCTTTTCGAAGTTTGATGTTGTTAGTCACAACTGGCGTCGAGTTTTTGTTCAATGACGTGATGTATGAGCAGATAGATGGGGTAGCCATGGGCTCTCCGTTGGGTCCCGTGTTAGCCAATGTCTTTGTCGGTTTCTGTGAGTGCAAGATTGATGCGTCTTATGGCCGAGTCTTTATTTCCGTTTCGCTGATGACTCTTTGACATACTTTGATTCCATAGAAGACAGCGAAGTCTTTCTTGGTGCTCCCAACATCCTTCACCCTTCCCTCCGCTTCACATGTGAGCACGAGCAGTCCAGCAAGTTATCCTTCCTCGACGTACTTGTTGAGAAAACCGAATTTGGTAGCGTAACATCGGTGTACCGTAAACCGACATTCACCGGACAATACATTTCCTATGACTCGTACTGTTCATCTAATTATAAAGTCAACGTAGTAAAGAATCTCGTGGATCGCGCCAAACAGATCTGTTCACCTTGTAAACTCAGTGGTGAGCTTGAATTACTCCGTTCAGTTTCACCAAAAACGGATACCCAGGCGACATGTTGGCAAAACTGTTGTCTACAGCCCCCACGCCGAAACATGAATTGATAGGGCCTGCTCGTTGTCCTGTCTTTTTGTGCTTACCATGGAAGGGCAAGAAGTCTGACAATGTAAGTCGTGAAGTTCGTGCGATCATCAAACAAACCTACTATGCGGTACATTTCATACCCGTCTACACAACGATGCGTTCGTTCACGGTGTTGAAGGACGTCGTACCAACCCATCATTTAAGTCATGTAATCTACAACTTTGAATGCCGGCATTGTGCTAGCCGGTATGTTGGTAGGACTGTTCAGCACCTGGGCGAACGCATCAAGCAACACACTCCTTTACACATTATCCCACGTAGCGCACAACTGGAGCGTCCCACGCGGGGAAGACCCCGTAAACAACCACTACCTCCGCCAACACAGGACCTAGCATCCCACTCGGCAAGTCCACCATTGGCTCCCGTGGCCATGACCAAGTCACTCCCTCCACCAGCGGAGGTGGATGTGGCTTTGGCGACGCCACGGGTGTGGAATGCAGACACGCTTGCGTCATCATCGCTTGCTGCATCACCGGCAGAGACGACAACAATACCTGCCTCAATATCAACGAGACCCAGAAGAACAACTGCATTACACCATGACCTATTTCAGTACGGAAGTACCGAGCCAACGGAATACACAACAGGAGCGTGAGACGAGGGATGGGAGGAGACGGGACCTGATTGCCTGATTGCTCCAAGGCAGGACGTCGTTGAGGAGGATTCGGCCAGTGAGTCCGGTGAGTCCGGTGAGTGTGAGAGCGAGAATGATTGTGTGAGTAAGAGTGGGTGCGAGCGTGTGTTTTCTAGTAGGAAGTCATCAGTGTATAAGCATATTGTATCTCGTCCTGATTGCTGCAAGGTTTATTCTGATTCTTCTTTTTCTGTTTTGTGCCGTGCTCGTCATGGTTATAAGTTGAAGTTGAGTGTGTTAGAAGCTGTTTGTCAACGTATTCATAAGCCTAATCTGGGTGTCCAGAAGGACAGCATTATTTGTTTGAAATTGTTTTAGTAGCAGCTTGTTCTGTCTGTTTGGCCCTGGTTGGCCATGGTGTCATATCTTGTGTCACAGTATACTAGTAGTCCTTACAAGTTCGTTAAGTGCTTTCGCAGTTTTTCCTGCTATTACCTTAGTGCTAGGATTATCATTTTCATAGGTGTTGTTTCTTCTCACTCCATTTCTCTTTATTAGTATCTTTCTGGATTGTTTTTCATTAGTACAACGTAGCTTCCTGAGGAGTGTTGTGCGAAAACTAGTTCGAAGTACGATTTTTTGTTCATCATTTCTTCCATATCACATTTACTTGGCTGTACTCGTTGGTTTTAGACATTAGGCCATTGTGGATTCGTATTCAGAAGGTGTGTCTTTGGAGGGTTACCGTCTCGAATTTTTTAGATTTGGCCTTCGTTTGGCTGAGATCGGATGGTGAAATCACTCAAACTCGAAGACGTGCGAACAAGTGAATGAAGACAAAATGTAAAAATCGGAGACGATAAACCGATAGAGAATTCCAAGACCTTGAAAATGAGCTATCGACGGTGAGAATCGACAGAGTAGAGCCGCTGAAGTACTTTTTTGAAGACATCAAAGTCGGCCGCACATCCCCGCCCCACCAAAAAAAACCAGCAGCCGTGCGCATACCGTAAAGTCGTGGATAAAAGCCGGGTCTGCATACAAGCACATCGCGGATAGAAGCCTGAAAATCAAACGGGTCCAATGCATATTAGCCTGTCGCGCGTAGAAGCCTGGCTTCTATCCAAGTGCGGATCGGGTAGGTCAAGAGTGTATGCGCTATGTACGGTGCATAGTAAAACTGCCGCCATACCGGTAGTCAGTGGTAGATCTATGTGTGTGGCGCGTAGAAGCCTGGCTTCTATGCAAGCCCGGATCGGCCAATGTACATACAAGCCTGGCAAAAATATCAGTGGTGCATATAAGCATGGTTTGCATACAAGCCTGGTTTGCATTAAAGCCTGATGCAGAAAGCGGCTTATATGCTTATAAGCCCGGCTTTTATCCGCGACTTTACGGTATCTGCAAGTGCAACAAGAAAGGACCGAGGAGACAGCAAGTGTTCCAAGTGAAGAGTTTACCTTCGTGTTGACTCAAGCTAAGGGCCCAGGCAAGTCAGGGATCATACCAGTCACTTGCCATCATGGTCATGCCTAAGGAATTCGTTTGCGGCCAGGAAACTCCACACTCGCAGGGTGAAAGCAGCGAGGTCAAACAGAAAAGAGTTTGCCGATCCGTGATCAGGAAACGCTGAGTTCTACTGACAACATTGGCTAGGAGCGGCAAAACCGTGTAGATGCCAGTACTTCAGTATCTCACCCACATATCTTGGTAGGCATGCACCAGTGGATTCAGAAAAATGACCAAGATGGCTTGGCGAAAGGACGTCTTCTCCTCGTGTCTTTCCCGGCATCAAACAACAAGATTCTCTTTGGCACTGGCCCACCGCTGTTCAGACTAGACCGGGGAGTCATAAAATCCTGGTATTTTACAACTCTACTGTAGATCGCTGTACATTGATCAGCACGAACTCGGGTGCGTAGCCGCTATGACTGCACCAACGCTGGCCTGCGCGGCAATCGCCATGTTTCAAAATGGTGGTCAAATTCTGTTATGTACATGTACATGTAGATGTATCACTTTAAAAATAAGCAACGTGAAGAAAGTAAAAAAATAGGGCCTTTGATATTATTGCTACATGTATTTTAAAGTTGTCACTATAGCCGATAATAATGTAGTGTGTTATGCATGTTTTGATTCTTTGTTGCCATCATAATATCCGATATTTCATTACATCCGATAATATTGGTTATAGTGATATTTTTACTGGATAAAATACGTTTTGCTTTTGATATTTCGTACCAATATCACCGTAGCCGATATATTCTTATATCCGGTCACTCTATAGCCGATACAGGCTGTACTCTCATGTCGTTGAGCATCATGTCAATGTCGTGACACCGGGCAACAATATGTACAAAGGGGCAACGAAAACGCTTTTGGAGCAAAAGACGGTGGAGCGGCAGTACAACGGAGTGGCACAAACGCAGTAGCACATACAGCGAAGTGACAGAAACGCACTTGTGCTTCAAGTCTCTAATTTTCCGTTTAATTGCTGCTTTGCTCCGTGTTCACTGTGTGCAGCCACGCCTTGTAGTTATGGTTGGGAATACAATGCACCGTCAGATGCCTGTTACAAGACCCTAGGCGGCCACGGTAGCTATCATAATTCGGAACGCAAGTGCAACGCAATACACCCCGGTGCACATTTACCCATGATCTTAAGTGACCAGGAAAATGAATTTATCGCCACCATGATAAGGAGGAATCACCCGTAAGTGAGACGTTGACTTGACCGGGATGGGACCTGTTATGGCCAGGGTTTTCATGAGGTGGGTCGTATCTTTAGTATGCGGGGGGGGGGGGGGCAAGTTCAAATTTGTCTGTGTCAAGAAAACATGATTACCGTACTCGCTCGATTAGAGCCCTCTCTTGAATAGTGCCCAAGTCTCCAAGTGCCAGTGAAAAATATAGCCCTCTCCTGAATAGTGCCCCCCCCCCCCAGTCTTGTAACCAAGCCCATGTGCAAGTTTGCTAATGTTCTTGGCCATTTCTTGGCACTGGTGTTTTCTGGAACAAAATCGCAGGTCTTGTTCCCTTTTCTGTGGAGTCGTGAACGTTTACAGTACACTTTAGGCTCTGTTTTTCTTTGTTTTACGCTGGATGATGCAAATGTACCAGCAATGAAAAAATAGTGCCCCAGGGGCACTAATCGCACGAGTACGGTAGGAACCCGAGGGCCCTGTCCTCAGTGTGTGTGTGTTACCTTTATTTTACTTCACCATAGGTGCAGGCATTGCTGCCTTCTTGTTGTGGATCATAAATGATGCCACAGCTCCTAGGCTACGATGAAAAATATAATAGTATGATAGATTAATATGATCAAATATGAACAGCATGGGAAGTAATAAGATGTCATGACTGTCAGCAGGACAATTATGAAAAATGCCATGCAGCAGTGTATTTTATGTGTTGTGGTTGTACATGTAGATAATATTGATGATGGACAGGGGACAGAACGTACTAGTGTGTCAATAGCTAATGGAGTGAAGTGAGATCAAGATCTGAAAGATATTTTTTGAAAAGAACAAGGTTTGTTAGAGAGCGGGTAGCATCGGGTAGAGAGTTACATGTGGTGCTGCCCACAAATTGGATAGAACATCGCCCAGCAGGATTGGGTAGGAATGGGATGCGAAGTAAATTATGCAGCTGCCCACGGGTGACTATACGATCAGCAAGTGGTATCTGAGGCTGGGCAAGTAATACAAAATAATCTTGAAAAAGAGAGCTTGCAGATCCGTGTATAGACCGGAAAACAAATACAAATACAAATACAGTGTCAGCAGATGTGTTCTACTATCTGCTAGTGCGTGGTCCTGTCAACTTGTGGACGTAGATCTGGGCTTAAAGGGGAAGTTCACCCTAAAATCAAAATCAGATATGTTATTGGGAAAAATCAGCTGAGTCGATTGGTGTATGTCTCGTCTTCATCCTGTGACTGTAACCGGAGATATACGCAACTGAAATATCACTTTGATCCCCGGTTTTTGGCGCCGCCATGGCGTCGCGAATCAGTGACGTCAAAGAGATAGAGGAGCTCATGGAGCTCGGAACTTTTACTTGGAGTTGAACGGAGAAGAAAGTGAAGTCATGAATGCCCAAGGCGGAAAGTCAAGCATTATGAGGCTCAGAGTGGAGACAATTCAGGGTAGGTCTAGCTCCTTGTCAGGAGATGACAGTGACTCCGAGGAGAGCGAGTTGGACGCCAGCGAAGGAACCGAAGTATACCGAGGATGAGATCATACAGATGGCGAGTGCGGAGCAAGTTGGTGTAAATGCTGACAAAGCTGCAGCGGCTGTCACGACGTTGACATGATGTTCAACGTCATGAGATTATTTGCAGTACACGTCATAGTTTGTGTTCTCTACCCCGGTTTTGTTTTCCGCGTTCCCACACCGAAGCTGGGCCGCGTGTTTATTATTTCTACTGACTCACTCAGTCCTCCATGTTTTTTCCTGCCTCTTTTTTCTCTGCGCAAGCGCCTTGCGCTTTAGTCGTCGTCTTCTTTCAGTTCACAGCAAGAACAAGAATTATTTACCTCTTGTGCAGTGTCAGTCAAATTCAGTCAAATCAAGCTCTCCCGATCCCAAGAAACTGTCTGGCGTGTGCACAAAGTGGTGCCGAAACCCGGGAATGAACCGCACCGGAGCTCGAAACGAGCCGTGCGTACCATTCCAATCTTGAGAAAGATAGACTCGACTCAAATAATTTGTAAGCAGCTTGCCCGATTTGGGTCGTCGAGCTAACATGCCGAAGAAAGCAGTGACGACCGGCACGCAGATCATGCGCCGGGCCAAGATCGCGCAGCTGCAAGGATCCATCGACGAACTCGTCAAAGAGGCCGAACTCCTTTTATCGAAGGAAGGAGGTCAAGGGGCCGACGAGTTGTCGCCAGAACACGTGGACTCGGATCCAAAAAAGCTAAGTACACTTGTGGATTGTATTGTTGAAGAATTGTACGCATATGATGAGGCGTGTGATGCATTGGCCAGTGTTTTGGACTCGGAGACTCTGGAGGGTTCAGTTGAGGCTCTGCAAACGGAGATCTGCGATGTGGTTGCGTATTCGGTACGCATCAGAGGGTCAATTGTTGAATGCAAGCGATCTCCGCAGTACAGAGCCCAGACGAACCGTCCAGAAGCTGCTACTACTAGTACTAGCTCACCAAGTAGCACCAAGAGTACGGGCAGTGCGGGTATCAAACAAGAAACTAGTATGGTTGATTTGTCCAGCATCCAACAGTCAATAGGAGATCTTGTTCGTACGCAGTCTATTACACATAGTCAACACCAGCAAGTATTACAGTCGCAAGAGGATCTAATCAAACAACACCAACTAGTCGTACAACAAATGCAAGCATCATCACCTCAACCACAACCAGCTCCCACAAGTTCAGTCAAATTGCCCAAATTTGAAATACCAACATTTTCTGGTGATTTCCTGAAATAGGCTGAGTTTCACGATATGTTTGTTGCGTCTATTGATGCGAATCAAGGGTTGTCGGGTGTCCAGAAACTGTCGTACCTAAGAGATCACGTAACGGGTTTGGCTCGGGATGCCATAGCTGGCTTGCCCATATCAGATACCAACTACACAACCGCGCTTGACATTCTCCGCAAACGTTTCGGGAATGATCAGCTTCGCGTCAATGCACACTACACGGCAATCATGGACTTACCGCCTGCGTCCAACGCTACTCCATCTTTGCGTAGGTTGCACGATGCGTTGGAGGTGCACTTGCGAAGCCTCACAGCGCTTGGTGAGAATGTTAATCAGGCGGTGTTTGTGTCAATGATTACGAACAAATTGCCACGTACCACGCTAGCGGCTTTGGAATTAAAAAAGGGGCCACAATCTTGGACCGTTTCGGACTTGCGCGCTGCAGTAGCCAACTTCATAATAGCGAATGAAGCAGCAGATCGCCTCAGCCAGCCACCGAAAAAATCGCACGAATCACCATCTGCCAGTGCGTCCGGTCAATCTCTTGTTGCCTCAGCTTCAGCTACTTCAAAAGCGAAGCCCAAGAGAGTGTGTGTTTTTTGCAGTTCGGAGGCACATTTCTCTGACGAATGCAATAAGTACACTACAGTAGAAGCGAGGAAGAGCGTAGCTAAACAAAGGTGTTTCAAGTGTTTGCGATCAGGCCACTCCGTGCACGATTGCTCTAGCAAATGGCGGTGTTTCTATTGCCACAATCCTGCACACCACAGCAGCTTGTGTCCAGATAAATTCACTGCTGCATCCACTCAGAGGCAAGCTTCCACTATGAGCCCGAATGCTCAGTCCTTCAAACCCAAGCCTGCCACGAGCACGGTCGCAAACGCCGATCACCAGATCATGATGCAAACTGCTGTGGCACCGTTTCTCTCCTCCAAGTTGAAGCCGATCAATGGCCGTATTCTCTTTGATACCGGCTCCACCAAGACATACATCACGCAAGCTTATCGAGATCAGCTCGATTTGCCCACAATCGGAAATGAAACACTCTCCTTGGCTACATTTGGGAACAACAAAAGAAAAAGTACCGTGTACGCCAAGGTGAGTTTGACCATGCAGTGTAAGGATGGGTCCACTCGTGCGATTCAGGCCAGTGTACTTCCGAACATAACCGCTCCAATTGCGCGATGTCCACTTGCTTCTTCTTTTCCTCTTCTACAGTCTCTGCCACTTGCAGAACCGCTCTCGAGCAGCGCAGAGCCCATGGTCGTAGACGTCTTGATTGGTCTCGATCACTACTATGATATTATCGGCAAGGACCGCACCGAACTAAGCGGTGGTCTGGTCCTGCTCGACTCCGTTCTTGGGTTTATCTGTACCGGCAGTCTGCCTGTGCCTGCCACCACAGAGGCGCAGTCATGTCTTGCTCATCAAACAGCCACGACCCTGAATTCGACCTCCGTAAGTTCTGGTCGACAGAGAGCTTGGGTACTTTTGACGATACATCGTCGCAAGATCTTGTGGGCGAGCGCTTCGCCAACTCCATCTCCTTTGCCGAGGGTCGGTACGCGGTGAGTTGGCCCTGGAGGGACTCACATCCTCCTCTTCCGACAAACTACGGTCTGGCTTTCGGTCGCCTGAAGGCACAAGTGCGTCGCCTCGAAGCCCATCTGGAACTTCTTGACCGGTACGATACCGTGATTCAAGACCAGCTTGACAGGGGCATGATAGAAGATGTTCCTCGTGGTTTTACAACCAACCAGATTCACTACCTTCCACACCATTCAGTACTCAAACCTACTGCTACTACCACGAAGCTGAGGGTGGTGTATGATGCGTCCGCAAAATGTTCCGAAAAACTCGCCAGTCTCAACGACTGCTTGCACGCTGGTCCCAATCTTGTTCCAGACCTTTGCGGTATTCTTCTTCGTTTTCGTCTTTCTCCGGTAGCCATAAGTGGAGACGTAGAAAAGGCCTTTCTGCAGATTGGTCTGCACTCACATGATCGTGACGTGACCCGCTTCCTATGGCTGCACGATGCATCCAGCTCAGCTACTCCAGACAACATACGACAACTTCGTTTCTGTCGTGTTCCGTTTGGCGTTGTCAGCAGTCCATATCTCTTGGCTGCCACTATTCAGCATCATCTTAGCGCTGCTGATACAACAGATTCCGACCTAGTGTCTCGCAATATTTACGTTGACAACCTGTTCCTTGGTGCCAACTCTGGGACGGAGGCGATTGCTATCTATGATGCCACGAAGCGCCTCTTCAGT